TTTTCTTTGATATTTTTTCAAAGATAATTAAATATCAGTAAATCTGATTAAATGCAGTTACTATGTGAAGTTTAAAATCACATTAAGTTGCATCCTGAAGAAACCTTTTTCAAACGGAAATGTTTTTATGCAGGCACAGCCATAGTTACCTAAAAAAAAAGTAGTAATAAATATTTTGTAAATTTTAATTGTTTTAACAATAGTACCAAAAAAAATATTAGCTTTACTCCAATCAAAACACTCACTATTTGAAATTTCCCCAAATTTATTTGTTTTGTCAGAAAGCGAACATGTTTAACGGTTGGACTTGGCGACTCTCTCCAACTCGTCCTTCTTCTTGATGGCGTAGGAGTTAGAAGAACCCTGAAGAAGCAATAGAAAAAGGAAAGTTCAGAACATCTGAGGCAGAAAGACACAAAGCAGGCTGAATATGGTCCAATTTTAAGCTTTGGGTCACCTTGGCTGCGTTGATGAGCTCATCAGCCAAACACTCAGCGATGGTCTTGATGTTCCTGAAAGCAGCTTCTCTTGCTCCTGTGCACAACAGCCAGATGGCCTGCAGACAGCAGAAAGTTTCAGATTAAAGGCCTGAGGGAGACACGGGTTGGTTTCAGTGGAGTTAAAACACGAGGCGGCGGCGTGTGTCTGAGTTGGTGATTGACTGGGTCACAAATGGACTGCAGCCAATGAATAAGCAAAGACATTTTCTCTGCGAGCGCTCTAGCACACCGGGACAACGGATCATATCCAGACGTGACTCTAGCCTCACTTTCCATGGATTTAAAAAAAAAAAAAAGGTTTAACTTTTCACCTGGTTGACTCTGCGGAGGGGCGACACGTCCACGGCCTGCCTCCTGACGGTACCGGCACGACCGATACGGGTGGAGTCCTCACGAGGTCCACTGTTGATGATGGCGTTGACCAACACCTGGAGAGGATTCTGGGAGCAAATATGGAAACAGATTTTAAATACAACCTGGAGGAAACGTCGACCAAACTCTCAGAGGCTTTTTCACACCTCCTCTTACTTTGTTCTGTACGAGTTAAAGAAAATATTTTGTATGACGGCAAAATATGAGCGTGATTCAATCTTTTTCTTTTTGCCTTCAAGCTGCATCATTTCTGCAGAGACCAGGCTAAGATATAACCTGCATCACATTCGCTTTCCTCTGCCAACGTCTCCACTAACATTTAAAATCACTTAAGATGCAGATGGATAGAAATGCAAATAAACCATTTATTTTCAAGAATTGCCGTTTCTGGAGTCAAATATTACATTTTACCCAAAATTTCAGCCAATTTTTACATAAATATGTGCAAAAATTTAATGCCTAAATTTAATGGAGAAGATTAAACAGTGAAGCAACTTATTTTAATTTAGAACAAATATTTTTCCACACACATAAAACCTGGACATCTGTGAAACCAAATCAGTCAGTTTTGCCTATTTTCATTTATAAAGTCTGACTTATAAAAGTATCTAAAATTTGTTATTCAGTATTGATCGGAAATTGGAGTCAAACTTGATGCAAGTATTTTTCATTTTGGAGAGTTATAGAAAGTGAATATTTCTACTTCCATAAATCTTTCATTTTCCCCTGCTAAGATAAAAGTGGCATCAAATAATAAAATAAATAATTCATCTGCACACTTGTTTCTTTTAGTCTGAGGTTTTCCAGGTTCCATATTTAATGTTGATCTAAAATTTGAGCTTTTCAATTTGGAAAAGTGACTCAAAAACTGACAACTTTAGAAAATGATAGAAAACATTTAGGAAAACAAGACAAAGGATGACAGGATGGACTGATGAATGATGGAGGGATTGATGGATGCTTTTTTATTTAATTTTAAATGCATTGTGCTTTTAGTGGTTAAACTGAAATCCCTCAATTTTCAAATGTCAAGTAGAAAACTAAGCAGTTTGTCAAAGGAAAAGTATTTCACTATAAATTTAAGAAACTTTCACCAATCAGGCTTTAAATAAACAACCTGGAAATAATCAATAAAGGAATGACACCAAACTAAAAACTAAAGCCTAGAAATACAAATCTTTCTGTACAACAGTTTCCTTTAGTACTCATCCAGACATTTAACTTGTTTAACCCAAATTTTCTGATTCTTTTGAAAATGTTAAAACATTAATGAGTTTTGGAAACAATAAATGGCAGAGAGATGCAGGAGATGCAAAGAGTAAATTTGATGGATTTTATCATATTTGACATTAAAGTTAACACACTGAACAGATAATGTCTGAAAATATTTTTTTTAGTTTTTCCATGCTCATCCAGACAGAGAACATATATTTATATCCAGACTGAAGGACCCCTGTGATGAATTGGCATTAAAAACATGAAAGTGGAGCAAAAGAAAGAAAACATTGCTCCGTGAGCTACCAGAACTGAACCACGTAAATCCAGTCGGCTCTCACCAGGCTGAGACACACAATAGATCGTCTAATATTTATAAATCAAAGACTAATATTAGATCATAGAAACACTTCACTGCTTTAATCTCAAACTAGAGGACAAAACACCATTAAACCCAGAATCATCTGATCATTTTTGGCTTTATGAAAAAGTACCTCTCCAGTCAGCAGGTGGATGATCTCGAAGGCGTGCTTGACGATGCGCACGGTCATCAGCTTCTTGCCGTTGTTGCGTCCGTGCATCATCATGGAGTTGGTCAGACGCTCCACGATGGGACACTGGGCCTTCCTGAAACGCTTGGCGGCGTAACGTCCTCCAGAGTGTGGCAGGTACTTGGCATACTTCTCTTTTACAGCAATGTAATCCTGCAGCAAACAGAGATGCCTTTAAAAGCTGCAGCTCATTCAAACATGTGTAGCGTCATGCGGGTGGGCGGTGTATCTCAGCTGGTGGTTGGCTGGGCCACGAGAGACTACAGCCAATGAATAGGCAGAGATCTGTTCTTCTACGAGAGCTCTAGCACGCCAGGGCAACTGGCGGATACCCAGACGTGACTCTAGCCTCGCTTACGGCGACGTTAGCTGATGAGTGACGTTCTGACGGCTACCTGCAGGGAGATGTCGTTGATCTGGACGTCATCGGTGCTCCACTTGCCAAAGAGCTTGATCTCTGGGGTCTCGGCCACAGCTGGGGCAGTCTCCCAGTCAGTCACTGAGGACGCAGAGAAAATTTCACTTTAAAGACACAAAACTGCACCATGCTTTTAAATAATACGGTTCCTACTACCGTCATGAGAAAATTCAACATCGAATAGTTGCAAATCCCCTTTAGATACATTAAAAAGTATAAATAAATTGCCAAGAATTTGTTAGATATTTTTAGTCATCATGGTTTGAATATGAAGCCTGCAAAAAAACAGATTGCAGGGAGAAAGAACGGCGAATGGATGGACTATCAGGACTAATTGGTTGTAAACTTAAAAATATATAAAGAAACAAGAAGACTGATCAATGGGCAGAAGAATATATACATTATCTCACAAGATGTAAATAGATTTTAAGATGTGGAAACTATTTGAGTTGTGTTTAATACAGCACAACTCCATAAGTGTGGAATAAAAAATTAAAACTCTAACAAGTCAAATGCCATACAAAAATATTACTACAGAGATTTTAAACAAATGTAGGGTAGTAAATCAAATAAAATGTTTATAATGCTACACTTTTTAATTTATTTAAAACAACATTTAAGAGATTTGCGGATGTAAAATTCACCCTGCAGTACTAAGAAAAACCTTTAAAAAACAATAGATGCACATGATTCTTGGTTAGGAAACAAATCAAAGAATCATCGAAATAATTTATTAAGAAAATAATGAATCGAAGAAGAGAAATAGTCAATAAAGTCATAAAAATCAGCTTCATTAGATTTCTCTCCAGTATTACCAACAGACTTTTAAAGATGAACACAAAAGACACTGTATGTAAACAAGACAATCCTTCAAATTGCTTTAATTTCAACAGATCGGACCTCATGTTGAGTCTGAATCCCTAAAAGCTAAACAGATTTCAGAAGAAGGCCGCAGCAGAAGCCCGTTTAACTTTCACAACTAACGCGTTAAAAATGTCCAAAACGTGCTGAGGTTTGTTATAATAAGCGAGTGTTTTTGTCTCATAACTAAACAGCAATAACGTTAGAACAAGTGTACGTAAAAAATTTGATAAAATAGTGAACTAAATGTGACGTCCACAAGCCAGAACAGCTCAACGTGCCGCAGACACATGTGCTAACAGATTAGCCACATGCTAAAGCGGAACGGTCAAGATAAATAAAACCGCCGTCAGGGAACATTCTCCCATTCTGAGTTAATGAATCGATGAATGCCGCTCAGAAATGCCATTAAATGTTGGTTTCGACTTGTTATTGTGGCAAAGAAAGCAAAAATAAATTGAATCCTTTACTCACTTGTATCTGCCGCTCCGAACCACACTTCTCTGAGACGGAAAAGGGCCTTTCCGTGGCGCCGCGGACGGATATCCGGTGATGAGGTAGCAAAGCATGATGGGAAATGTTGTTTTTTAATACATATATTTATACGATCTTAAATCTGAGAGAAAAACTATTTGCCATCAGTCACAGGGATTTAAATACAGCAATGTATATTTATGAATTTAATCAATACATATTTTTTATAAATTGTTAGTGTTTTACAGAAATAAATACATTTTTACTTAAATAAATTTTATTCACATATTTTAATAAATATTGAGAAATGCACTTTTGGAATATATTAAATTTTATTTCATATGGAAAATATAAACACCAATTAATTTTGCTTAATAAAATAACATGGAACCTAATTTTAACAGGTAAGACTTATTTTAATAAGTTTTTAATATTTCCTGTTTTTATAGGCGATGGCTTCATGCAATATATGATTTTCCATTAAATCACAAAATTAAAATTTTTTAAATAATATTACATGTGAATGATCATTCTTCCAGTTTATCCATCAGTTTTCTTTTGCTTACAGATTCAGAAGATAAATGGACAAAGACAAAACAAACCAACTTGTATGTTCAAACAAATTTATTGAGAAAATGTCAGCTTTTAGTTTATTTTTATTTGCAGGACAAACACTGTAGAAACTTCCAAAATAGTCATTCTAGTTTTAAAAAGGTTCCTTATTTACAGTAACTGGTTGTAAAAGCAGAACAACTGAAAACAGAGGGCGTCCCTTCGTACACATTAGTTATGGGTTTCTTGTAATAAATGACAAAACACAAACAATAACTAAACATTTAAGCAGCTTGAAAACATTTAAAAGCAACCCTTGTTTACGAGTTCCCTTCTCGCTCCATGTTTCGATAATTCACTTCCTGTCTCCACACATTAACAAACACATTTCCGTTTCCCTTCTTCTGATAAATATACATAAATAAAACATGTTGCAGAATCAACAAACATATAAATGTAACCAGTTTTGGAAAAACAAATTAATCCCTTTTCTACTAAATATGAAAACCAGTGAAAAGCCTGAGCCATCTAAATGTGATGGAGGGTAACAAATGCCACATATACAGTTGTGATCAGACATTTATGCACTAATCACTCTTCATGGACATTAATGCATCAGTTTAGGGTCTAATGGTTTACTTGAACCACTTTGTCTCAGTGGATTGGTGTTAAAGCTTCAATGTTTGTTACAAAAAGATGCACAAGATTGGATTTATTGTGAATTTTCTGCAATTTACATAGGATCAAAGTTATAAAGGGTCAAATATATACATATATCTCCAGAAATTGGATTAATAAATGTCCTTTGGCAAGATGAACATCCATGTTTTAACTCTTTTCACAGAGTTCATTTAAATTTGTTGACTTGATGAGGCCTTACATACAAAATTTAAAAGTCTGACTTTTATTTTTTTATGTCAGAGTTTTCATAATATTGCCATTTTATTCTCTTAATATTGTGGCTTTATTCTGGTATTATTAAGACTTTATTCTCCAATTATTTCAACTTTATTGTCATATAACTTATTCTTTTAACAACATGACTTTATTCTTGTAATTAAAAATATAAATTCTTAGCTGGAGCCTAACATTTTGTTGTAGAGTTGATCTGAATTCAAAATAGAAATAAACAGAAGCTGGAAAACATGCTTGCCAAATAAGATGGCCACCTTGGGCGCACTGACATCACTCTGAAGAAGTGCATGGTGAACAAAATTAGATCAATAAAATCAATTTATCGCCCAGTCCTACTGGAAATAAACCAGTCTAAATTGATTCTACCAATTCTGCCAAAGAGAACAGACAAATAGCCAACAGGAAGTTATTTTAGAAGCTTCTTGAAGTCAGTTCATCTCCAACTTGCCTAAACTTGTGCATCCATTTGTTTTGGTTTTTTATGTGTTGTTTCCATTGCATCTTATTCAGATAAACGACACTTGAATACTTGAATTCCCAAGAGGAGAAGATTGTAGATGTCTGACCAGAACTGTAAGCTTTTGGTGGATCAGTAACTCATCACTACCTGACTGGCCACTTTGCACTACTTTACCTATATAATGTAGTATGGTTTTTTTAATATATATATATATATATTTTAGCACCGTCACTGAAGGCAGTGTGTCAAAGCACTTTGGACATGAAACACTGAGGCATGTAGGGAAAAAACAAAACAAAACATTTAAGGCTTAATCCACTAAAGCGGGAGGAGAACATGTCTAGAGTACTGCATGAATCTGAGGAAAAACTGATACTGGTGATCAGATCTTTCATGCACGCTAATAAAAGGTTAATAAATGTCTGAATCTGGTTAAACATGACATAAATGTCTGCACTAGATGAGCAGGACAGTAATCATCTGTACAGGACGACAGCAGGTCGCTCAGGCACGGTCGGGTTTTCATGGTGTCGTTGAGATAAGCTAATATAGCACATTACTGTCCACAACAACAAAATGGCTGTTGACCCTTTACACGTGACGTCACGCTCTCCAGAACGCCACTCACTCCGCCATGACGGACGTCAAAACAACCAACGCGCTCCTGTAAAGCTAGTCTAAAAACAGACATCTGTAGCCTAATATTACTTCTGTTTAGTTGATTTCATTTTAAAATGGTCATAGGGCGCTGCACCAAACTTGTCATAACTTTTAATGAGGAAAGATGGCGGCGATATATCGCAGCCGTCAATCATAACGACTAGCAGCTGTTAATGATGACTGACAGCCCTTGGCGTGATCGCGGATTTGCAGCGAACACTTTTTTACAAGGTAAGAAGATTAACGCTCATTTACTTTATACGTAAGTATGATTACACACATCAAATATCGCATTATGGATAAGTTACGCGTCTAACAATTGGTAACCATGGAGACAATGCCGCACCGTCATGTAGCCTAGCATGTACGGGGAAAAAAACGTGTTAGCATCTCGTCTTTTGTACGTTTTTGATGTTGCTCCGGTTAAAGGGGAACCGCATATTACGACACAGCGACAAAAATCATGGGGTGTGAATTCAGGCAAAGTCGGTAATTAGATCAACACCACAGGAGGAATGAGGTGCAAGTCGGTTTCTAAGCTAGCTGCTTCAAACTTTTGTAAACATCGCCGTCCATGAGCCCCAACCAGGTGAGTTATGTTCACAGACAAATTGACCCGAACAATTAGAAACCGTGAATAAAGTGACAAAAACTACTTTGGAAAACAACTTCAGTCGCTCCGTTCAATACTCCTGTCGTCACTTTCGACGTCCGTCATGGCGCCTCTTAGTGACGTAGTAGCAAAGGGTCAACACATACTAAAAAGGTGCAAACATCAGCTGTAAGGGTCATAAAAGCTCTTAATCTTTTAAAGGCAGGCTGCACAGGATGTATAAATACAAATTTATAACTTGTGGTGGGAATTTGTCACTTCCTCCCACAGTTCAGTCAGAATCTGCTGAGTGGTTTTATCTCTAACTCCATAAATTACACTTAACAGGAGGCAGGGAATGGAGCTTTTTGTTCTTTACAGCAACTGTTTGTTTGTGCAGGTTCAAAAACACCTCCATTGTCGTATTATATTTGATATTCTTTAACAATATCTGAACTAAAATGGTCATTTCAGAGTTTAATTTGTAGAAATGACCAGATACATAGCTGGAATAGTCCTTTATAGTCCAATTTAGTTTAATTTAATCCCTTAAATTTCCAACGTTGTTCTGAATTTTAGGATAAATCTTATAGATTTACAAGGGGAGACCCATTTCATGACAAAATAACAATAATTTCATAATGCACATCAAAACCATGCATGAACTTAAACTTCATAGTTTACTTTTTTCATAAATCTCAATCTTGCTATTTTTCTGAGACATCAAATCCCTTTAAATGATTTAACTAAAAAAATAAACTAATTTAGCACATAAACTTATGGGTTTTGTTCATCTGTGACAACACATTTCAAAGTTAACACTTAAAAGTTTAATATTATGGAGCTACTGTTATAAGCATCCTCTCTTGCAAAGCCACTGGAGGTATGAAAATGAGTCATTTTAGTCATGTGAAGTCTGAAGGAAGTCAATAAAAACCTTAAGAAAATGGTAATTAGCTACAAAATTGTGACTGGTCTATACATTTTTAAACTGCCAATAAAACCTGATTCCAATGCAGGAAAATAGAACAAAATCAAAATATTTCGCAAATCGAGCATTTTTTTATGGCAAAAACTTTAAATAATAAAACAAAACAACTTTCCTGAACTGCATTCAGCCTTTCTGTTACCTGCTTAAAACCTCGCTCTCTTCCAGTCTGAAAGAACTGAAGAAACGCCTTGACAGAGTTTATAAAATGGTTACCTTTAAAATGCCTTCAGGTTTAACAAAAGAGGTGAATTTTGGGTTTTCTTAACTTGGTAACAGCGTTTACTCCGAAGAGTGATGAACTCTTTCGATTATGGATCATTTTTCAGCTCATCCCTGCTCTGACCATTAATTTGGACCCACTTTCTGTGGGTTTACAACTTTTTGAAGTCAACAGAAAAAAATTAAATGTCAGAAAAAAAATATTTTTGAATTTTACATGTAAAATTAGAAATTTGGGGGTTTTTTTTTTTTTTTTTTGCACTTTGTTTTAAAGGGAAGTAAAAAGTTGAAAAGAAAGTTCTCTTCTTATCACTGGAGCCTTACCAGGAGAGCAAACAAATACATTTACAACTTCTTTAAATATGATCATAAATAAAGATTTCTCATTTGCAAAAGCAAAAACCTATGGAGAAAGAAGAGATAAATCCTGCAACCGCTGTTTGATACCTGATTCAAAACGGTCAGTTATCAGAGATTCCTGGATTTTAAGATGATATGAGCTTAATAAACAGCAGGATATGTGTGTGTGTGTGTGTGTGGGTGTGTGGCTACACCAGCCACTTCTCGATGCACGTGTGGAACACCGTCTCATTCGAATGCCACCAGACGTGCTTGACGCCCGGAACGGTGCAGAAGAACAGGTCGCCGCGGGCCGCCAGCGACTTCAGGCCAAAAACGTCTCTCAGATACAGCTGCAGGAGGAAAACGGAGGTTTTACTGCACGTCTTCACAGTCAGAAACTTCACAAACCTCCAGACGTTTTTGACTGCAGGATAGAAGAAACAGCTCCGCTCTATAACTTGGTTTAGGTCTCTTTAAAAAGACTTCTATGCACAATCTGCTTTTAAAGTCAAGATAGTAAGAAAGTGCACTCTCTCATTTTAACATTATAAAAATAATTTGACAGTTAAAGCTAAAGAAAATATGTAAATCATGTCATTACTTATTAAAACAGAGGAAAAATGGGAACGATGTATGAAAAATTTAAGAAAACTCCTCAATTAGCAGCCTTTAGAACCACATCAAGCGGCAATAACTTGTTCATCAGGTTCCTTTACAACACATGTGTCAAACTCGAGGCTCCGGGGCCAAATCTGGCCCGCCGCAGCTTTTTATGTGGCCCTCCGGACTCCAGATTTTCACAAATCTACAAAATTCACAGAAAATCAAAAAATCTCCACATTTATTCTGATTTTACTGCAGATTTTCAGAAAATTTGTCAAAAACATTCAGCCTTACTGGATGTCAAGTTATAGTCCGTAATTGATACGGTGAATAATAATACATCATATTTAACGTCATACATTAGCACAAATGTCATAAAACTTCCTTTCTAAATTGGCACCACAAAATCTGTGATTGTGAATGCAAACAAACACTAAAACCATCAAAAATCCTGGAAGAACAGCTACTTATTGATATTTTAATAGTTTAATTGGTTTTATCAATACATTCTGGCACAACCGGCCCTTTAAGAACATTCAGATTTTTGATATGAACTAAAATTAAACTGAGTTTTCAGCTCTGCTTTAGGAGATCCCTTTGTTATTTGGACGAACCATTCTGCAACACTTGGTATACAGCAAATAAATCCTTAACTTAGTAGCTTCTAGGGTTCAAAACAGTCCCGGATCATGACTCCTCCTCCACCATGCTCCACAGCTTCTCTATTTGTTTCCTCCAAATGCAGTCCAGTGTTAAATGGCGAAACATAAAAAGAAAACATGCAACTCTGCAAACCTTTTTATTCCTCCCAAACAAGCTCAGTCCCTCCAGGAAGTTCCACATAATTAGAATATTTTCTTTGTACTTTATTTTGATAAACAATGCACACAAATGAATTTTGCGTTTTACTTGACAAATGAATCTTGCGTCTGATTTCTACTCACATCCTGGTGCTGGATCTCGATGACCGTCTCGTTGTCGTCATAAAATCCAAACTGACTGTAAAACATGAGAGACGGAGAGCGTGAGCATCACATGAGAATCAGCAGATCTCAGGAAAACCCCGTCATAAGAAAGAAACACTGTGTGAACTGAGCGCAAACCATTGTTATGACCCTGGGAAAATATAAAACCTTCAGAGATTTGATGTATTTGCTTGGAAAACATGAGGAGAGAAGAAGCACCAGGTTCTGCTTTTTCTAACCTTCCACTAGAAATCATCTCTGTGTTGTTTCTCGAACCAGCTGAGCTGTGAACTCACCTGGACTGCCAAGGGGTGATGACGCCGTCGTCCGGGCCTCCAATCAGAACCAGCTTCTGGATCTTCAGGAAGTTCTCTTTCCATTCTGAAGGAGGAAGTTTGACTCATTTAACAAAGAAACATGTGACGAGGCCCCAGGTTCATGAATTTCCATTTGCATGATTTCTCTTTTTTTTTCTACCAAAAACTGGACGATAAAAGTCCAAAAAGTCTCAACTAGTTTCTGTTGTTTTGTTTATTTATTTTGGATATTTAAAATGTCTCCCAGTTCCAGTTTTATACTTCCATTAGAATTTAAAGTTTATTGATCTTTGAGATTGTTTTCTTGCTTTATTATGCCGTTACCGTATTTTCCGTACTATGGGCGCACTGGATTATTAATGGTCTATTTTTGAGCTTTTTTTCATAAAGCAAACTGAACTATAAGGTGCATTAAGCAAAGCAAAGTCAAAGCACAATAAGTATCACTGACTACAGTAACCATAATGTAACTAAAACATTTTGACAAAGCATAGTGAGCGCTTTGCGGTCAGTCAGCACAACCAGAATTAATTCATATTAATTCACTAGAGGGTGCTGTTTTACTCCAGAACCATATTTAAGGCGCTCCAGATTACGTCGCTTTTTGATATAGTTAAAGGCTTTTAAGTGGGCCTTATAATCCGGAAAATACTGCACCATTATTGTTATTATTGTTGTTTATCACAATAACTTCTGGGACAATTTATTGTCCAGCAAAATTTGTTATGGAGACAGGCCCATACACAAGTAAGAGTAGCACTACTTCAACTTATTTTTACATAAATAAACCCGTCTCTAACCTGTTGAATTTGGGTTTGGTCTCTCGCTGTTAATCAAAGCCAGGTAGTCGCTGGTGTTCACATACAGGTCTCTGTGGTGGGGGTCTGGAGACAGAAAGACAGAAACAAGTTACATCCACGAGATTTTAGGAGAAAGTTTAGGAGGGATGAGAATGTCACAAAATGCCCTGAGAGCAGCACTACTTCAACAAATCTTTACTAAAGTAAAAAGTATCCATCCAAGAAATTACTCAAGAGTAAGAAAAAAGTACTGAGTAACTGATCAAATGATCAATCGCTTAATATTTAAAAATTTCATCATCAGACGGACCAAAATATAAAGTTAAGTGAAAATTGTGGTATTTTAAAAGGACGAAAATGAAAATAATTCATATGAGTAAGAAAACAAAACAAAACTAGGAAATAATTTTTTGTCCAAATCAGTTTCTTTCAATAAAAAAACTAATGAAACCTTAGTAAAAACTGCAGGTCTGTGTCTGTGTCTGGTAAATCTTTGGTTAAAACATGTTAGTTTTTTGTTCAGTGTGAAGAAAATCCAGAGATTTTATTCAACAAAATGATTCAAGTAAAAGTAAGAAGTACAGCATTTGTTTTCTTCAAAAGTTACTCAAGTAACTGTAACTGAGTAAAAGTAACTAGTTACTACGCACCGTTCCAGTAGTTGCAGATGGAAACCCTCTGGCCGAACGCTGTGTAACAGAGGTGGTAGAGGTTTGACTTCACAAACTGGGGGAAGAGATACTTCAGGTAGTCTGTATCTGAGAGGAAACGAGGAGCAGACGATCCAGGGTTTAATCAGAGGAAGGCAGAAAACCCAGATTATACTCAGTGTCGAAGCAGCACTACTTCAAAAAATGTTTTCACTCCAGTAAAAGTAAAACGTGGCTGTCCAAGTAATTACTCCAGTAAGAGTGAAAAAGTATTTGGTAAAAAAGGGTAACTGATCAAAACATCAATCATTTAATATTTAAAAATTACATTCTAATGAATCAAAATATAAAGATAAGTGGACATTTTGGTATTTTAAGGAACGAAATAACGAAATCGGCCAAACGAAAAAAATTTCCAAATCAGTTTCTTTCAATATAAACCTTATGAAACTTTAAACAAAAACTACAGCTGTGTGTCTGTTTTTTATTTACAACATGTTTGTTCTCCATTCAGTGAAGTTACATATTGTAGGAACTTTACCCAAATAATTCATCATATGCTTATGCAGATAAAAGTAGCAATGACGGCGTAGTTAAAATACTCTTAAAATAACTTCATTTTTCCAGAAAAGCTGCTTAAGCAAATGTAACTAGTTACTACCCAACTCTGGATTTAATAAACTCACAAACCTGTGAAATGGAAAATGTTACAATGTGCTCCTCACCCTTTAGATAGAGTCTGATGAGATCATGTGACTGCGCGATCTTATCATGAGGTCAAGCTGCTCTCCTATAGATTTCTACAGTACCATATGACAGCAGGGGACGTCATTGATCCTGAAGACCAGCTAAGTGTTTCTCCCCCAACCCAGGACTTATCTGGCCCCTTTATCATGAAAGAACAACCTCCTTTCCTTAACAATAGACAAAGGAACAGACCATCTGTGTTGGGCTCCACAGAATCCCTGGTGCATAACGATCAGAGATTCACACCTATTGTCTAATCAAGTCTCTCTTTGACCAGAACCTATAGAAGGAAGCCAGATCCACTATTGGTCAGGGCAGACTGACAGACTCCTTTGACTCTGTATTTCTGGTCTCACCTTGCAAGGTTTTAATACATTTCTTATTTCTTCTCATCCAGACTCTTGTTAAAGTAACTTCTTCCATGACACCTGTGACATTTGTAGTTATCACTTTTATATTAACGTCGCACACACCTCCATATTGCCCAGCCTGAGGCGCAGACAGAGAGATGAATGAGTGAACATTGTGGTCGGGCAGAATGGAAAGGATCCCTCTGCAAACGAGTCCACCTAAAGTAACAAGAAAAGGAAAAACATTTACCTAATTTATTCATTAGATATAATTCACAATCAGCAAATTAACATGAAAAACATCAGTCTTTCTGTAAGGAGTCTGTAATTTACAAATTGAACTACATAAATTTAGAAACTACAGATGAAATTCTAATGTAATTAAAAAACACCAATATAAATTAGAGAAACTTAAAATATAAACAGAAAAAATGACATTTAAGACTCAAAACTTAGACAAACACTTTTAGTAAAAGAAATCAAATTCCAATTCCTGCATGCTTGTTTCTAAAAATGCTTTTCTGAGAAAAACACCTCATAAGAAAATTTGCAAAAAGTCTAAAGGTCTAATCTGCTCCTGCATGTCTGTGATCGCTGCTGATCGTTGGAAGTTTCCATCAGAAATCCCAAACATCATAAAAAAATGCATCTCCCACAGATTACAGTCAACTGTTTATGCAAGATCAATTCTGCTGCCCAGGTCGCATACCAGCACTTTATCATCTGCAGTTCAGGAATGCACTCACCTTGAGAGTAGCAGATGAAATGAACTCCATCTGCAGCGTTTTGCATTATTGGGTAAATGGCTGCCTTGAATCCCTCCACCTGCTTCCACATGGACTCCAGGCTGGCACCTCTGTCAAAAAGGTCGATGACCGTCACATTGGTCCCGGGATGAGACTGCAGGACAGAAACAAAGCTTCGTTTTGGGTTGGAAGGCACTTGAGGAAATGTTGTGGAAGTTAAGGCGAAGTGCAGCAGAAAAAAGGTTATATTTAGTTGGTTTTCTGGTTTCAGTTTGCAGCTACAGAGTAGGAAAAAAAGAGGAAGTACAGGCTGAAACCTTTTTGGTTTCATAAAATGCCCACAAAATTTCCTTTTTTTAACCATTTCCACATTTCCAGGTTGAGAGTTTATAAATGTCTGCAATGATGTAATATAAACTTATGAAAACACACAGGACAGAGCACATTTCATTGCCTTAACAACAATCTACATTTAAGTTCATTTACCTAAACACACAAACTGTTCCAACTAGTTTATTTCTTCAATTACCGACTTAGATATATCTACATTCTTCTTTTAATTAAATTTTTATACACTAGTATTTTAAATTACTGTTTTACACTTTGCGTTTTGTGTTTTTTTGTGCTACTGTAATATTAATTTCCCTGTCTTTAGGCAATTAGGTCAAAAATAACTTTTAAAGAAAACAAATGAAATAAGAGATCAAATAAAGAAAAAAGGACATCAATAACACATGCAAGAGAACTTAGAAGGAAAAAGAAAAATTAAAACAAAAAAAGTCCAAACAAAACAATGATAGGTATGCAGCATTTATCGGATCTCTTTGTATAACTTGTTGGGCCACTTTATACCAGAATAATCTGTTTTTAAATGCAGTATTGATGCTCTGATACTGAATAAATAGCAACATTTTAAACATTTATTACACTTTTAAAAGCTACAAATTACCACTTGTAAAGTAATAAAGTAATAATTTAAACAATACATGCTATACATATTGTCACATGTGGTAAATTTAATCTTCGAGGCATGCAGAATGTAAAGAGGATAACTAATTTTGTCGTCATTTTTAGCCACTCACCTCATTAATGAACCGCTGTAAGTTCTTAAAATCGTCTGAACTGTCGAACAATCCGTGGACGATGATCACCGGCTTGTATCCGACCACCGCAGCCCAGAGACACGCACCGAGCAGCGGCCACATCAGCCCGGCCGCCCCGCTGACTCTCCTCCTGGTTCTAGCAAATGATGGCCCCGCCATTGAAACTTAGACGTATTAAAACCTCCTAAAATAATTAACTATGCATAAATAAGGACGCGTTGGGTAAAAGCAAAATAAAAAATATTGGTGTTTAGCTAATGTTGAGGTCTCATCTTGAAGTTCGTTTCGTGTCCAGCTGCGGTCCAGATAAACACACAGTTAGTTTCCCTTTATATATCTTATTTAACACGCAGTCTGTCCTCACATTCACATAAATAACAGCCGATGAAACATTCAGCGGCCGATCGACTTTCCTCATCTGTTTGTTCCGGTTTTAAATTAAAGGTGAAGCGGCCGCTGCGAACGTCACTTCCGGCTTCGACTCGTCCAATCAGCGCGAAGCGAAGCGACTCCTCCCCCATTTTGCTGCATCAGGTGGAGTTTCGATGTAAACAAAGCACTTTATGCTGACCAATTTAACACGTTTCTGTCCGCATTCACATTTAAATCGGAGTTTTTAAATCTTTTAATAGTCTTAGGGCCAATAACAGGTATCACTAACACGATTCAGGTAAAAACTGTTTCCCTACAGGAAATGATTTTCTATTAGGTCGAATCAAATTCTGTAACTCAAATCCTCCAAGTATCTTCAAATTCGTTTGAATGCTGAACATCACTGAACAGGTGATTTGATGTACAAATCAAATCCTGGATGAGCCATAACATGTTGCAGCTGAACAGAAGCAAACAGAAGTTATAATCTTTGGATTATTAGAGCTAGAAACTGGTGATGAGGCGAGAAATGTGGGTGTGGTGATTGACTCAGACCCGAACCTGCAGAGCCACATAAAGACTGTTACAAAGTCAGCCTTCTTTCACCTCTACCACAAATCTTAAACTTACAGAGGATAGCTGAAACACTGAGTTCATTTAAATCAAGGCTAAAGTTTCCAATGATGTAAGTGGAACATTGATCAGCATATTATATATAAGATTCTGATGATATTTGACAAAAAGTAATAGTACACTAAACAGACTATTTTAATAAAGTAGTTTAATTTTTGTAGAAAAGTAATCTGTAAATCATTGTTGACCCAAAAATATAAACAAGGTGTTGAACAGTTGCTGTATTATATATTTTCTAAAGCTGTTCTTTTGGGTTTATTGCTTTTTTCTTTTTTTTTAACATTAGGCAGCATAGGTTGGGCAATGTTTGATAACTTTAGCAAAGTGTAATCATTGAAAACAGGAACATTGTTAATAAAAATATCAAATTAATAGTAAACTTGCTACAGTTCTGAATTGTGGGTCAAAGGGTCGCAAACAGTCCACTATTAATTTACCTTACTTGAATTTTTCACTATCCTAAATATTCATATGTTCAAAAACACAAGCTGCTGTAGCTGGTTCTATTTTTTTTTGTCTCAAAACAAAGAAAATGAGGTCAAGTGATCACACTCTTTATTTACTAAGTAGTCCTGCAGGTTTAAACAAATGCCTGCAGAGCCATCCGAGTGGGAAAACCTCGACATGTAAAGTACAGCCACAAGATCAGGGACATTCCCAGGTTGAAGTTAATTAATCCCAACAATGGTAATCACTTTAAATGCCATTGTTATGCTAGTTGTCACATCAGAGAATCAATCCAGGTTTTAAAATGGAACAATTCCTATAAAAAAAGCATTTCTGGATCTACTCGTTTACTTCTTTAGCTGATCACAACTCCTAGGAGCCTTTAATCCAGGACTTGGGTACAGAAGCCCATCTATTACTTACTCTTCAAATTAGGAGACATGAGAACATGTAATTCCAAGCAAGGCAGAAAATGGCGGTAAGAAAATAGCTGCTCGCCTTAACTTGCCCATACCTACAGTCAGAGCCATAATTACAAAGTCTACAACAGAAATGGATGAAGACACAAATGCAAAGTCAGAGCTTTCACATTTGTAAAGGTTTTACCATCAAGTTTCCCACAATAAGATACACATCCTGCTTCCTGTTACAGGTTCTGTGTATTTTTCATTTCTACCTCAGATGCAAAAGAAACCTTCATTGCATTTATAATAACCTCCTTTGGTCCATTTTAAAGGCTCCTAAACCTACAAAAATCAAATTATCCAATTAACTGTGCTGACGGAGCAAACGGTGGTTTTATGGTGGAAAGGAAGGCCGCTGGTCGTCTCCCGACTTGTAAAAAGAGAAGTGCAGTGATTTGATGCTTTGGTTAATGCTGGAGTGTCAGGTAGCTTGTTTTCGCTTTCACATTTGAAGCCAGCGTTTAATCAGTTTCGTGCTGAAAGAGACAAAGATCAGCAGTAAAAAATGTATCAAAAGCACAGCAGAGCTGCAGAGTTCAGCCTTCAGGCTCCGATGGAAGAGTAACAATTAGCATAAATGAGATGCAAGCCTCGTAGAAAACATTTAGAAAGCTTCTTTTCCCTTATTGGAAGGCGGGTTCATCGAGTTTGTTGCTGCAGCAGCTCTACACGGTAGGCTGCAGCAGCTCCTGCAGGTCGCACAGCGTTTCCTTCAGAGTGCGAGCCATTGTCTCTGCGTTGGTCTCCTCGCAGCAGTTGAAGGCGGTGACGGCGAAGTGGACGTGGTCCGCCTGCGGGTTGTAGCACACGGCGTAACCGTCGGGAACGAGCGGCCCGAAACACATCACGCTGTCGGTGTTGGTGGGAACCTGCAGACGCAAAATAAAAACATGAGGATCAGTTCTCAAAAAAAATTTAAAACATCTTCCATCACGTCAAAATCTGCATTTGTTGTCAAATATTAACTTTAAAAGTGAACATATTAAACTAAATCAACCACATTTATCTAGTCCTGCTCAATACCGGCATAACTCATAGTACATAGATTTATTTCTCAAACACTGAGATGTTTAAAGCAGTAATTTCTAGTGCTGCACCAATTGCAGTTATTTGGCTGATTAAAGATAAAAATAATAGAGTGACTCATCAGACAGATGGAAAACAGGAGAATTTAATAACATTGAAAATGTTCTGAGAAAAGAATGCAACACGGCGAATTGGAGGAGTCATTGTAGGTATTAGAAAAAAAAACAAGTAAAATTTCACCAAAAAATGTCAGAAATTTTCTAGAAACAAGAAAATTTGATATTAATCTCAGAAATAAATTTCTAAAAAAAAATGTTTCATAAAAGTAAAAAAAAACAACAACAAAAAAAAACCAATTGCCAGGAAAAAATAATAAATTTTAATCTTAGCAATTTTCTAGTAATAACTTTGAAAATTTTCTGAGTTTTTTTTTTGTAGTAAATTTTCAACTTTTTAAACTCAGGAGTTTCTACGTTTTTTCTAGAAAATTTATTTCTGAGGTTAATATCTAAATATAAGTTTTTTTTCTCACAAATTTTCTGCCTTTAAAACTAAAATTCCTTGTTTTTTTGTTTTTTTTTAGAAAATGTCAGTTTTTTTGTAGCAGATTTTTAACTTTTCAAGCTCAGAAATTTCCTTTTTTTTCTAGGAAATTTATTTATGAGATTAATATGAAAATGTTAGTTTTTTCTCTTAAATTTTTTGCTTTTCTTGTTTGTTTTGTTTTTTTGAAAATTTCTGAGATTAATCAAAACATTTCAGATTTTTTGGTGAAAATGTACTTCTTTTTATATATATATCAACAGTATCCCTCATATGCTGTCATAATAAATATTAAAGAAATAAACAGGAAGTCACAGGCTGTATGAATTTTCCAGGAAAAATATCACACTCTGGAGGTAAGTTAACAAAGCAACCTTGACGTTGAATTTTTCCAAACCAAGTAAGAAATAAAAGTACCACACACACACATGCTGAATAAAATGAAAACATTTAAATCTGCAAAAGTCGTCCAGCTGTGTGAGAACAGACCTGCCCTGTCCGCAGCTTCCAGTGCGTGGCCAGGCCGTAAGCCGTGTCCATGAAGATTTTGGGAATGCTGAGTCCTTCCTCGATGGCCTGCAGCTTGAGACCCAGCAGGTGGCGGTCGATGCCGTGTCCTCTCAGAGCCTGAGCAGCACCAGGAGGGAAATATCACCAACTGAGCCTCCAGGTCACATAACGAGCTGAGGAAAGCAGCTTCTGGAGGCATTTACCTGCGCGGTCAGCTCTGAGTACGCATCCACTGCTTCTCTGAGCAGCTCCAGCTTCGCTTCTCTCTGCGGAGAAACACAAAGGGTCAAAGCTACAGAATCAGAAAGACGCTGAGGAGTTACAGCGAACCGTTCCTCACCGACACGGTGCGATCGTCGAAGGCCAGGATGAACTTGAGCGCCTGGTTTGTGGGCGAGCGGATGTACTCGGTCCGTCCTCCTCTGAACATCCTCTGTGAGGCGATGTCACAGGCAGGACAAACCTCGCTGTGAACCCTGCAGGAAAATGACGGTGATCGCACCGCAGCAAACGCACGGAGAAATTCAAGAGCTTTTCAAGCATTTTCAAGGTACGTTTTCAAACTTTTCCAGCACCAAACCTTGGAGATAAACACAATGCAAATGAACTAAAAAAAGACAGTTTTAATTCACCATTATATGAATCATCAATTAGTGTTAGTATCCTACATAAACTGCCAAAAGCACAAAATCTTGCCAAGTGCAAGATTATAATATATATATATATATATATATATATATATATATATTATAATTTCATATAATATTATAGTATAATATTTAAATATAAAATTATATGAAATTAAATTATCAGTACATTTTAATCATCTGATTTGATGTGTGTTTAGTGTCCAGTGTAAATATCCCAGCAGAGCGCCCTCTAGTGGTTATGCAGCAGGTTCTGGTTAGGTAATACCTGCTGCTGAAAGCCTCAAACAGCTGCTCATAAGAATCTTGTTTTAAATCAGAAGCTTTTTTAAATAAATGTGGTCGTGTTTTTGTCGTGGTACCGACCTGTAGTAGGACAGCTGCAGAGCCACCTGGATGAAGGAGTTTGGACTCAAGCTGTGCTTCTTGGGAAGCTCTTTGCCGAACCTTTTGAAGTTGAAGACATGAACGTCGAGGTCGTTGATCAGACTGAAAGAATATAAATGATAATTTAACCACAACTTCTGCAGGAATCCTTTGTAGGATCTGATCATCTTATCTGGTTATAAAAGGAGCAGAAAAGACAATTTCCAGGTTTACAAATAATCACATTTTCTTAATTTATTATTATATATATATATATATATA